AGCGGAGCAGCAGCCCCTCACACCCCACCCAGGGTACCACTGTCTCCTTTGCTCCATCCGGGGCTGCGCACGGATGCATCATTGATCCATTGATCCAGCCTGAAAGGGATGTGGATAAAGGTGGGGAAAAGCCACCTCCAGCCACCCCAAGTGATTCCCAGTTGTGGCTGCCCCATCCCTGGCAGTGTTCAAGGCCAGGTTGGACACAGGGGCTTGGAGCAACCTGCTCTAGTGGAAGGTGTCCCTGCCCGGGGCGGGGGTTGGGACGGGGGGAGCTTTAAGGTCCCTTCCAACACAAACCACTCTGATTCCATGATTCTATTTTGGGGGGGATGCTTGTGGTGCTGGGGGGGGCCTGTCTCCTGCCCTGTGATTCTGGAGGGGTGCATCCACCTGTGGATCCGATGGTCCTATTTTTGGGGCACTCCTGGTCTAAAAAGATGGATAAAATGATGTTGAATGTAACCACAGCCCCTGACTCACGTCTCTGTGGGACCAAGGGAGCGGCGAGTTCCCAAACTTGCCCCGTGCCCACCACCAGAGACACTGATTCACCCACATGGGGCAGCCGTGGGCAGCTTTAATGACCAATATTATCACCACCAGCCACGTTTCCCCAACCAAACCCTTCCCTTCGCAGCGGGAGCCGAATCCCACTGGCACTGCAGGACCGAGGAGGATGCAAAAGCCCTCGGCTGGGAAAACTTCCCTTTAGAAGAACCCCAAAATGTCAGCTCTAAATTGGGTGTTAGACGCTCCTGCTCCATCTCTTCATTACTGTATCGTAAAATTACATTAGCTGGGAATGATCTGCATTCAAATGACTCTGTGTCTGGAATGATAACGGGGGAATATGAGATTAAAATGTAATTATGCTCTTTAAAGTCAAGGAAGGTTAATAAAATGTTTTTTCCAAGTTGCAGAGGCTCCGCAGCCGCCACGCGGAATCACTTACGGGAATCAAGGGGAGGATGAGGTGGGAAGGGGGAGGCAGAGGGAGGCAATAGAATGTGTAGGAAACATAAAGAAGGGGTTTGGGGGATGCAAATATTCGTATCAGATGGGGTGAGGCGTGGGATAAGTGATCCCAGGGTGATGGGGCTTAAGCAGCATCCTCGCTGCACAGTGATGCTCAGTGGTACCCGGGGTGATGCAGGGCCCCCAGCCCACACCCAGCTCCTATGTGATGCTTTGGGGCTACTTGAAGTCATGCCCCAAACCCCCCTATATCAGCCACAGGCTCCCTTGTCTGTGTCCTCAGCACTGGATTTGCTCTGCCACGTCCCTGCTCTTCCCCAGGCTCTTCCCAGAGGAGCCCCCCTCGTTAGCGCTGATGTCCTAACGACATGCGAGGCGGGCGATGGGGTGCTGCAGCATTCATCGGCACTGTTAGCTGCCTGCTTCCTCCAGCCCCGCTCGCCTCGGCTGCTGCAGGAGAGCCCCAAAGGCCTGCCACAGGGTGGGGAGCG